CTTTCCCTCGTTCCAGTTCACGCACGTTACATTGAAATCCAAACAGGTTTCCTCGTCGATCGGTGAAGTCTCTCGCTGCTGGAGATGATCAGCTGTGATCACACTCACCGACGTAATCCTTCGTCGAATACATTACTTTCGAACGCTTTCGTAAATTATAACCAATACACGATTCGACGCACCACGCGGCGCACGCACGTATTAACCGACTCACTTCACGGTAACCGGAGAAGGCGCGAAACGTGCTGCGACAAAATTGCAGGTTAGCATCGATCGATAACCAGCTGTCGATGATCACCGTCGATCGATTGTCAATGCGATATCTACGCGTGGAAAACGGGGTGAATTGTTACGGGACTAATTCGTGTTCTGCTCCGTTTCCTCGTTACTACACGCAAACGTAGAGACAGCGATTCCTGCCTCTCCGATAGAAAGTCAACAATGTAACCCCGCTTCGAAACGAACAACATGGGTATAACGTACGAACGTAACCCCTCTACTGCCTCGCACACGATCGTTTCCAGGTACGGCACACACGCAGAAATTGCCGCACTGCTCACTACAAACACGTAAATAAGTGATCGCTATCGATGTACGAATTGCACTCGGCTGTCAATAAAACTTCCGTCAACGTGCATCGTGGTATATAACGTTAGATTGACATGTTAAGAAACATTGACGGCCGTTGATCGTATTGTACGACTCGTTTCTACGAATATCGACGTAACCTTCACGGTATAAGAATCGGTATACTTGTTTCGAAATATCCTTAAATAAATATGACGTAGATGGTTACGAACTTTGAGCTTGACACTTGAAACACGGCGAATTCGATGGGACGCTTTTCGTATTCCGCGTCACAGTGGAATCGATCCAGCAAGCGTGATTTCCTTTCCCTCGATAACTGCCTTTGTTCTCGAACCCATGGTCGTTGTAGGTCCTTTCTGTTTGGCAATCTTGACTGGCTCGGAGCGTCACCGTGAACTCACTGTTTGCAAGAAACACGCGCAGAAGGACACGGACACGCGAGGCGACCAGCTCGCCGCACCGTGGTCGGCCAGGTAGTGACTCACTAGCCGCCAGTAGAAAATAAATATTACGGAATCGTGCGCCGTGCTTCTCAGCCAGGTAGAGATCCTCCCACCTCCGAGGCACTGGCTGAAAGTAATTCGTTCTATTGCTCGAGCTCGTTCCGCTACGAAAACGTTCACTCGCACTGCTAAATTCGATCCACGATGCAATTATCTCGATTTTGATCGATCGTGTCGCCACAGACGCCTGGTTATCGCGTTCGATTATCTCTCCATCGACCTGTGCTTATCTGGCATTGTGCACGCGCGATATTCACATTTTCGGGCAATAATAAACGTAGAAGAAAAATAAACCGCGGGAAGATAAAAAAAAAAACAGTGTGACAGGCTTTCGTACGCGAACGCGAGACAATCGACCTGTCGATCTTTCCCTCTGAAGGCATACTAACCTCTCCCTTGGCCGTACCCACCACTAGCGTTACCCCCACCACTTGACCCACCTGGTCGTACCGCCACCTGACTCGATCTCACGAAATCTATGGATCGTGTTTAACACACGATCCTCCTACGTTTACCACTGTTCTCGATGTATTATGTTCAAATAAATGCTGAAATTCCTCGAAACATTTTCCACGTGAATCGCATAATAGGGTATAATAACGTTCCATGTGGCAAGAATATATTAAATTATATAGATAATACACCTCGCTCGTATATTACAAAATAAATTATCTAGATCCTTTCGAGAGTTAGAAAATGCGTTTCATGAAAAATGATTCAGTTTCACTATAATGCCGATGTGAAATTGAATGAATTCGAAAAAACACGCATCTTCGCGAAAGAGAGAAAATTACGTTATTATACAGCATTTTATAAATCGACAGTATTCGATTAGTTAGAGAAAAGGGGTGAAATAAAATTTGATTTTTTTTTTCTCTAATGTAATCATGACACCATTCGTTAATGATTAAAGTAATACTGCAAGGTGACCGACATTGAACGTTCTAGTTAGCGATGTAATTGTATATGCGATACAATAACATCGGTTATCATTAAACGACTTACACCATCTAGTGGTTTTCCAAGTAACTGATTTTATCGTGGAAGATTAATAATCATTTTGACACGCGGCAAATCGCTCTAATTCTTTTGTAATTTCCATCGTGGCCGCGCGTTTTCCTTTGTATTTTTTCCACCTTCCCCGATCCATTCTTTATATGCAAAACCGACAAAAAATCACTTGAAATATTTCTGCCAACCCATGAAATCGAGATCCCTGTTACCATACACTCCTGAGAGGGTGCCTGGCAACCGGAAGCACCAACAAGAACAACGGTGCCGCATATACAGCTGGTATGTGCTATACAGGGTGGCAGATGTCTTTCTCAAATGTTGCCGTTGAATGTCATCGACAGTTATATTTCTCAATTTTCGAATTTTTTCGTTTATTTTCTTATTTCCGTTTAATATTAAAAATGGTATTTTTGCATAAATATGTCTTTGCAATTCGTTAATCGTACGTTTGTGATAATATTTCGTTGGTCTCCTACATTGGGAAAGTGTTTTCCTCTTCACCGTGGATCCTCGAGATCATCTACGTGAACGGTGAGGAAGATACGGACGAGGACATTGGCAACTTCCGGGAAAATCTCTGATCCATCGAGCGTAACTTTTATAAATGTTTAACGAATAGTGAGTCGCAATAACCTCTACACTCAAACGTCAATCGATAGAAACAACCTTACCGCAACAAGTAGCTTGTAATAATTTATAAATTAATTGTTCAATAAACAACGTTTGAAAACATTATGGCGTAGGTGTAACGTGTCTTTATTGTATCTCGAAAGAAATAAGAATTCACGCTTGAACGTGAACGATGCTTGAACGTGTAACAAATTGACATTGTATTTTGGAAGGTTGTAATTATTAAAGCCACGCAAATATGGCACACAAACTGCAACACGTACCGGACGAGGTAGAGCTTGAGATGATATCTCAGGCCGAGCTTTCGAGACTGAAAAGGCAGTATAGGATAATGGAAAATGACCGAGGTGCTTGCGTAGAGGATGCAAAATTACAAATCCGCAATCAAATGAACATGATTAATCGTTTGGAGTATGAAAAGGCAGAGCTCGTTCTTCGTATTAAAACCGCATCTTCGAAAACGTTTACTCGTAAAGACGAGGAAATGGAGGAAAAGCTGAAGTGTCTTTTGACGATGCAGACAAAATACGACGAATTGATAAGAACAGAGAAACTGGAAATAGCAGAGCTCGATAACGAAATTCGCAAGGTTTATCCATTATTTACCTCGGTTTCAAGCGTTAATGATCAGAAATGAATAGATGCTGTTAACACTTTGTTTTCAGTTATCAAAAGAAGTTTCATCTCTGAAAATGAAAGTTAGGACAGACACGCAGCTAAAAGAATTGTCTTTGCGGCAAACCAAGATAAGTCGTATGCTGGAAAATCGGCTGGAAGTAGCAACGAAAAGATTCAACGTTGCTGTTGCTCAAAATATGAAGTTTCGAGACGAAATCGAAGATATGCTGAAGGAAAGGACGCAGTTTACCACGCTTTGGAATAAATTAATTAATCAATTGAACACTGGAAAGCAAGTTATCAATGACTTGATAGAGCAAGCTACCATCGCGTTCAATCAAAGGGACGAGGAACTGAACAAGATCCAGGCTCTTCGCGAAAGGTACACCTGAGATTTTAACGATCCTTTTACCTCGAGTACTAAAATCGTAAAATTAAATAAAATATGTAATAATGCCATCGAGAGTTTCATGACATTCTTCACCACTGAGTAGTCGCGAAAGTTGAAATCATCGGATCGTTGTCCCCATAACTTGGAGAATTACACTAATGACCTGAAAGTTATTCATATTTCGCGTAGAATGCTAATTCGTTGCTGAATTAGAAACTCGGAACCAAGAATAATGATCGGAAATCAATGGCGCGTGGTAACATCCGGTGATCTCGCTTCTACGATCGGTTACCCAATATTTTATTTGTCGGATCATTAATCGACTTACGCTCTTTCCACTTCCGGCTGCGGTATGCAATCATCAGAACAGAGACGAATGTTGAACACTTTTCTCTTTAAAGGGGATTAAGAGATCTAAAGGCACACGTCTCCGAGATGTGCGAGTTGCAGAGAACAATGGACAATGAAATGAAGCTGCAAGAATTCCTCGGTGTAAAAGGACAGTATCGTGAAATGACCGATTTGAACGCTAAACGTGCTGCCGAGAAGAAAGCGAGAGTAGAAGAAAAGCAAAATAAGATTACATCTTATAAGAGCATTTTACAATTGATTAAAGACTTTACTGGTACTTACACTTTGCTCGCACTCCATACATGTTGCGTGTAACACCGATGACGTACACCTGTGCATTTACTGCACTCGTTTGCATATTACGTATACCACGATAACTATGTTCATTTCCTTTCGTAATTGCTTTCTTTCGGTTTTGCGGACTGTTTGCTTATATTATCGATTTGTTTGTTAACGTTCGATTTTTCGTGATTATTATTAAACCGTTGAACCTTGAAAATGTAAATATCGTCAGTATGGGTGTTGCAGCATGAGAAATTAATATAAAAATATAAAAAAAATTTGTTAACGAATCACCTTTCTTTTTCCAGGTGAACAAGACGTCGATAAACTTATAGCACATTTCGTCAAGCAAGAGGAAGAGAATTTCGCTTTGTTCAGTTATGTGAATGAATTAAACGATGAACTGGAGTGTCTCCAGGCGAGAATGGCTCACTTAACAGCAGCTATAGAAGAAGCACAAGTTATGAATGACCATACTAAACATCAACAAACTGAGACATTAGAGAAACTCAAAAGAGAGCTTGAAGAGCAAACCGCTCTCGCTGATGCTGCAGAAGAAAATCTGTCACAGGTAATGTCTTGCTAATCTCATAAAATATTAAAGATCCGTGGAATGGGAACTAAAAATCTGGTGTCCTTAAAAATATGTAATTTCTATTTAAATAACTGATTTCATTGTCTGTTTTCAGTGCGATGACGTGATAGAGAAGCTACTGAAAGGAATAGATTCTCTCTTTAAAGCAATTCGTTGTGACAATTCTCCAATTTTACAACTGTTAGGCGATAATGAACAAATAACAATGAGTAACGTCATGATGTACTTGGGAATCATTGAGAAACGTATCACGCAAATGTTCCATAAAGTGTATTGGCTAGATAGAGCCACCAAAACGCAACATTTGCGGCTCGATGAAGACAGAAGACCCAGATTGAAAGTGCCTCCTATTGAATATATTGCCCCCACCCAACCTTGCGCCTTGTAAGTCCTTTGATTCCATCTATTTCTCCTCTATTATCCATCCTTCTTCCAAATATTTTGTTTGAGCCGTTGTCTGTTTAATACTTCATTCGTGCAATCCGTTTATAATGAACGTTCGTTATGAAAAGAAAACGCTTAATCGTACAGATGCATCGAAAAAGAAGAATTGCAAATCGTATCCGAAGGTTTGGAACACCCATTGACACGTGATGAAGCTACCAAAAAGTTAAAACAAAGACTCGAGGAAGATTACTCTGAACTCTTGCATAATATATCTGGTTGTCATTTGCCAGCAGCTAGAAAAGTCATACAAAAACGATATCAATAAAATAGCATCAGAGAGCCCGTAAATTGGTTACACAATCAATTAGCATTTACGAAGTACAAGATAATCGGCTGAATCCTCATGGTCATGATGCAACACGTAAATCTGGTTTCGCATAAATTTTCGCTCCTTTTAGTTTATCCTTAATATAGTAAGATATTTATTAGTATATATTTTATTTCTTTAGGATATTTATTTACAAATAGTTGGACAAGTAATTTCAAGCAAAATAAATCCCTTATTTTGTCGCGCGCTTCTTCGCAACTTTCATAATCCGTTTCAATTCGAGAATAGTTCGTTTAATATGATCCAACTGCTCCTCAATGTTGTCTTTGCTCACAGTCACGGGAATACCCTTTCTCTTGCAGATCTGTTGATACAGATTCCAGCAACAAGTTTTTACTTGCGTGTGCTCCAAATTTTTCTCGGCCGCAGTTGCTTTTATTTCAGCCACGATTGTCTCCCATTTACGAGCTTGCACTTCTGCTCTATCTCGCCTTGCTTGTAGTTGCGCTAATGCGTTATTCAATGCCATCATTTTTTGTGACTTAAGCTCTGTCATATGATGCTGTAAAGAAAACGATATTTGTCCTCTTCTCTGTATGATTATAAAATGAAAGACTAATAAATTATATATATTAAGTACAATGTTTACCATTTCTGTTCCTCTCTCCTCCAGTATCTCAAGATTTTTATCCTGGTGCTCAGACAAGATTATTCGTGCTTCGATTAGAGTTTCGTAACGATTAAAAATATCAGATATCGAATTAAATTCTCCACTTTCGCTAACAACTTTTTCCAAATAATGTTGATATTTCTTGTACTCTTCCACGTGTTTCTTCATCCTCTCGCGAATATCTTTCATACGAGCCAATTTTTCATTCAGTTCTCTGACCTGAGAAATATATCATACGTTAAATAAGCAGGATTATATTTGCATATTGTATACCTAATATCATACAAGTTTTTACTAATATTGTTCTGATACGTTACTTCTTCCGA